AACGGTTCTGTGTTGTACGTCACACGCAGGCTCACTATTGGCCGACGCTGGTCATGTGTGTGATGCGTGTGACGTACAAACTAGAAGCTTTGCGCAGTTTCACTACGTGAAATCTCGAGGCCAACAGAGAAGGCCTCGAGAAATCTCGAGGCCAACTTCTGTTTTTTTTTTTTACCTTTTGAAGGGCTTAATCAGGGGCCGGTTTCACAAAGATACTTTGAATATGGCTTAGATATAGTAGATAGTCAGACTTCAGATAGACATCTAAATCAGACCATTGCACAAAGCACTTAAGACTCTGACTATCTTAAGTAGGACTACACTGCAATGCATTCTGGGTAAAATAAGACACTTTTCAAAACAAAAAACATGGCGGATCGAGTAAGCGCATTGAACCGCTCAGTGCAGTTTACCCCAGCGGAAAATATGAGTTTGTTGGAGTATAACAGTTACAAGGATATTTTACTTGGGAAATTTAGTGGAGAATGTAGTAACAAGAAGAAACGTTTAATTTGGAAAAAGATTGCTACGACAGTGTCAGCGTTAATCCGACCGTTGTGCGGAGCATTAAAGACGTACAGAAAAGATACAAAAACATGGTACAAGATGCCAAAAAATAAATATTTAAGAGGAAATATCCAAAAACGGGAGGAGGACCCCAAAAGAAACTTAAAGACACCACTGAAATGGTGATGAATATAAATGGAACTCGCTCATGGGGTTTTCTCTCTATAGCCCCCCCTCCCATCCTATCTGCCGTCCCTAAACTCAAGCGTTTGCCACCATTTCTCTACTTTCCACAAGCAGGAATCATCATCCACCTCTTCAGGAATCAATCTATCTCTCGCAGCCTATTACACCAGGCTAAAGCTTGACACTCCTAATAAACGGTCAATCAAATCTGAATGAGGACGCCAATAATCCAGTCAAGAAATGCTCAAATCAATTCTTGAAATGCTTATCATTACTGAATATTGTAATTGAACACTTAAAAAAACAATTATGAATGGAATAATCAACTATACAATCTTTTGCCTTCACTTATCCATCAACATACTCACATTCCCTTTGTCCACCTCTCTTATCCCTATACATTCATCCCTGCACAGATCAGATTGCAATGGTTGGTCACATTTTAATTAAAATCCTCTAGAAGGGTCCTATGTAATCCCTCCCTGGTTAAGAAGCTTGAAGAGCGAGTACAAAAGACTACACATAAATCTTTGCTTTATTATGTCCTAAGGCTGTAATCAAATCCATCCGGTGAACTTGTCAAGAAGGCTCATGTCTCTTCAAACAAATCTTAGACTTCATCTAACACCAAACACTGTTTACACTAAACAAACACACTATTTATGCAATATCCCAGCACCAGATCATACTTGTTAAAAAGTATAAAGTTTGTCGTCATGACAACCTGTTGCCATGGTCCACGGTGGTCCCTGTTTTAATGAGAGTGACAATGTAATACACCTTTATGTGTCCCTAGAATAAAATTGCTTTGCATTCCGATCCATGACTCATGAATATGTATTTCACATAAAAACAAGCCTGTTTTTCAACACCTACTGATTCAGCCTCACAGTACGTAAAGGGCTTATTGTCTGTGATTGATAGTGGGTTTCAGAGATGTCTTTAATAAGCGGTAAGAAGCTGGTTGATGAATCATCACACAGCAGATGGATGCTTTTGAGCAAACAGATGGCCTGCTACATGAGGTCAATTAATCCACAGATCTCCATTATATTGGCCACATACCTTCATCCTCTCAAAGGTATGGATGTCAGGTGCATTACATAATCTGAAATGTGGGTGTTTGATAAAGTGATATATAAATAGATATGTTCAAGCAGATGTCTGCTTAGAAGAGCTTAGGTAGACTTTGAGGAGTAGTTGGTATTAAGGGCCATCGGCTAATTGGATTCAGAAACCTCTTACAAAGAGAGTTTACTGTATGTATATTATTACACATCAACTACTGATAATTAAGATCTCTCGTAATCAGGGGTTTGACGGTCTCTTAGTAATTAACATCCGCATATTCCTCTGAGATTTCAGTCGAAATTTAAAACAACTCTACAACTAGGATCTGGCTCAAAATTGTTGATGAGCCTTACAGTATGAATTTTGCTGTTGACTGGACACAACTAAAAACAAACAACTGTATGCAGGGATTAAAGTGAAAAAAATTCTTCTGACTGAAATTTTTTTCAGGCCAAGTCATATTCCTGTAACTTTATTTAAATAGTCGAGACCAATAGCGTTTTAAGGGAAGATGTTTAAAACCGATCTAATATTGAGTAATTTAAAAGCTATTTTAATCTATGAAAAACAATTACTTATCCTGACAAATAATCAACCATCTACATAACTTTTCAGTGCATGTTTTTATTTATCTTATGAGACCAAACAATGCTAAACTATATTAATATGTGCCATGGCAAATTGTTTTGGCTGAGGGCAAAGTGAAGTTTTATAACTGTATTATGTAGGCTATATTTAACTTTAACTTTGTAGCCTATTACAGAGCTGACTTATGTTTAATTGAATTGTTTGCTTTATTTCTCATTGTATAGCTTATTATAGCCTATCTATTAGGCTACTACTTTTGAACGGGATATTAGCATTAAAACTGACATTTAACAAAAAAGAGACATGGTTGTGTAATTTTATATATTCTAAAATATATAAAATATTATATTACTATGCATTCTCTTCACTGTATGTGTACGCATAATACAATAAAACGATACAACCCTGTCTGTTTGTTAAATGTCAGTTTTAATGATAAATAATGTTTCATATTTTTAAAATGAAAACAAAAAGAAGCAGGTTTGTGTTTTAGCTATATTTCGTGTTGTTATAACTATATGATAAATCAATGTGCGTTGCCTGAACCACATTTGTGTGGCCATTTATATGTTTATGATAATAATTATGTTCATTTATAAAAGAAAAGAGGCACAGTGGTGTTGATGAAAAAAGGCAGAGTTGATAACCGGAGTAGCCGCGTGCTGAGTGACGCGATCAAGAACGCGCTGTTAGCAGCGTCCTCTCGTCCTCGGGAGTTTGTTCTCCTGAGTCGAACTTGGCAAGTCCGAACTACCAAGGACGCAAGTCCGAAGTTTGCATACTTGGTATTGAGAAACGACCAATATTGACCCGCGTTCTGTTTTCTATCATGGGATCGCAGCAAACGAGCTGTAGCCTCGCCTGACAAGATTGAGTGAACAGGGTCCAGGGAGCAGTTTTTCCGTGAGCGGGAATTGAAAAACCGGAGTGGACCATGAGCAAAGTGATTACAGAATGCTTAGAGTGGAGAGAGGAACCTGCTTTTGCTCCACTCCAGGCTTTATCACATCCCTCCTCAGCAGGGTGAATACGCATCATCTTTCCTTAATTTAAGACCTATTCAAACTAAAATTAAGACATTTATCACACTGTTTGCGAAATGAAAGCCTATTTACGGCCTTAAAATTATGAAAAGTTAATTTAAGACATAAGGACAGACGGGAACCCTGCAATTGACGGATATCCGTCATAGACTCGCTGCAATTAACGGAAATCCGTCGTAGCGACGGAGAACTTTAATCCCTGTGTATGCAAACATATATTACTATTTACAAAAAGCAGGATGTAAAATGGTTGAGAATATTCTAAAAGATTTTTCTGAGCTCCTAACGTCAATTATTTAAGAGCACTACTTTTTGAACGGCAAGTAAATTTCTAGTAATCTAATAGTGACAGTAGCTATATACATATATATTTTTAATTTAAGTAGCTATTTATTATATACTTGTACTTATTTCAATAGTGACTAATATCTATTGAAATTATTCACTAATACTTATTCCAATGGTGACATGTAGGCTACCTATTCCATAGGAATCAGTGGGTCAGACACCAACATTCACTTTTGAGTATTAAATAATCCTAAAAGAACTAGAATCTTTTTCAGTTTCACTAGTATCTGTTCAATTGAAACTTTTGCTGCGATTCATTATCCTTGTAACAAGTAACAAAATATGTATTCACAACACAATTTGGCTAATATTTTAACTTATATTTAACAAATATAAGTATTTGTTTATATCATTAGTCGTTAACTATTCACATAGTTACTAATATCTGTTCCATTTTATTTTAGAAGTAACTGAATAGACATTAGCACATAGCTATTACAGACTAGTGTAGCAGATTCCTATTGTTACAATACAATTTTTGTGGGACAATAATATGTAAAGTAATTCTAGGAACAAATTTTTCTGTCTCATAAACAAGCACTAGCTTTGAATAAATATGTGTAAGTAAGTAGGCCTACACGTCCTAGTAAAAGTAAAGCTTGAATATAGGCTATACTAGCAACGTTTTGAGTTACTAGCATAATGAATAAAACTGGAATAGACACCAGCAAAAAAAAAGAAAAGAAAAAATGCATACTAGTCAGAACCAAGTTTAAAGTATATTAGCCAAATTGGGAATACGTATTTTGTTACTGGTTACAACAGGATAATGAATCGCAGCAAAAGTCTAGTGAACAGATAGTGAAACTGAGAAAGATTCTAGTTATTTTAGGATTATTTAATAACAACATACACATAACCCAAGCGCTAGTAATAACAAAACCAGATTAAAGTGTTCAACGGCTTGCCATAGGCACCTGTTCTCCGTCTCTATAGCCTGTGTTATGTAAAAGCATCGCATCATCCACTGCCATAATCTCGCCGACTGCATCAATCCTGTGGCGATTTGTGATTTTAGGTTGTCGAATAACCAGACACATCACCTTATATAATAACGTACACTTGCTCTGTTTTCCTTTAATATTACTGTTCGACTTATAAGTAACATATACGATATTTTTATAGATATGCTAGAGTAACAGACCGGTGGCACTCGTGGCGGAATCGCGGTTCAATCCCGTAGAATTTCTTGCGCTGACCAAAATAATTTTACTAGAATTTATTCAATAAGACACTATGTGTGAAGTATAAACTTACCTATCCAGCAAATGTGATCCAAAAATATACAGCCTGCACCCCGCACTTCTCCCTGCGATATAATCCTCCCGTTTAATTCTACAAAAATAAATATGACTTTCTAGAACGGAGCAGGCGCGTACCCTGTATTGGCTCGGACTGGTTGGATGCCAACAACCAGCCACCAATATTTATCTGTCGTGACTCCGCATGTCGTGTGACAGATAGCGAGAACGTGCTCGCTGCCGTTGACCGCTGGTTCAATCCATTCGCCGCACCGAGGGGTATTCCGAAAACATGACACTGCACATTTACACTACACTGGGATAAAACCACACCAAAACAATATTACATAGTTGGCCTTCCGATACATGTTTATCTCGTTTAGACTTTATCAATTCATATTTATAAAGCATTTCAGTTAAACACGCAAATTAAAATATTTGCTGTGCAGCTTATCTATAAAAGATTTTGCATTTTGAATAAACATAACGTCACATCCTTCAGAATTCTTAATTATTATTTTTATTCTGTTCTTTTAACTTAATATTCATGACATTTTCTTAAATTAGTGTGTTTTAAGTGGTTAATTATTGAATTTTATTTACATCAGGTCTGGCTTATATCAGGAGAACTCTTGTTTTCCTCATGGCTTCCAGGAGATGACTTCAATGGCAGTGGAGGCAGCTCTCTGGATGATGGAGTTAGGGTGTGCGAGTCTAGACTTCAGCAGAGGCACATGCTCCAGCATCTGTGCCCGGGCCCTAGGAACCTCTGCCAGGACTGTAAGGGCACGGAGGGCATTGGCACACACGGCTATATTCTCACTCACCACCAGCCGCATCAGAGGGGCGATGGCACCTGCGTCCAGTGCCTCGGACTTACCTATAAACAGGCAGAAAATAAGATCTTGGATGTATAATCTAATACAGGGGTTTTCAAGTGAGTGTTAAGGGGTCAGCAGGAAAGTTCAGAGAAAAAATTGTGTAAAAATACATTTAAAAAAAATTATAACAAAAAAAACCCTAACAAAAAAAATGATTACAATAATTGAAATCTACAGAATTTGATATTACCACATGCTTCTATAATTTCTTAGAAATTATAATTATTTTATTCAATAGTCAACACCGTTTCTTCTTGGGTTTATGATCTAAATTTACTTTGATGGTGAGTAGAAAAAAGCTATGTAATAGAAAATAAATATTCTGTCATGATTCTGCCTTAGTATTCTTGATTTTCCTAGTCGTGAGGCAGGATCATGACAGAATCATGTTTTATGTACAAGCGCATGGTCTGTTATTTGGACCATGTGCTTGTGTTGTCTCGTCTCGTTACCCCGCCCCCTTGTTATCCTCGTCTTGTGATTATTGTCTAGTCAGTTTCACCTGTCCTCGTCATTAGTGTTCCCTATTTAATCCTCTTGTATCTGCTGTCTTTGGTCGGTTCATTGTGATTGTTATCTGAGTGTTAATCTTTGTCAAACCTTTGTCAGAGTCTGTGAGTATCTTGTCAAGAGTTTTAGTCCTGTTGTGCTATTGCCTGTAAAGGTTATTTGTGTCCCTATAGTTATCTGTCTCAGTCTAGTTAGTCTTCATAGTCCTGTCTTGTTTTGCCCCCTCGTGGGCTTTGTTTTCCCGGTTATTTGTTTTAATAAATCGTGTTGCCTTGACTACTGTCTGCTATTGGGTTCATCCTTCCTCACCCTCATAACAGAATGAACCGACCAATACAGAACCCAGCGGACAGTATGTCCTCGCCTGTCAATTGCCAGTCGGACCCTAAGGATTGGTGGTACCAGGCCATCGCTGACGCAAAGAGGGGCAAACTCCCGATTCCCGCCCAGGGACAGCGATCGGTAAGGGAGTATGCTCGGGTCGCGAATGAAAGGAGGTTTTTCTTACCAGAACTCCTCCTTAACCGCTACCTCGTCGCAGGTCTCAACTCCCCTCCACCCCTGGCTGAACGGGAGGAGCTGGTGACCCGTCCGTTCACGGAGATGGTGGATCGTTTATCGCGGAGAGAGTCATAAGCACCCTCGAGCTCACCATCACCCAAGGTGTCAGTGATCCCGGAGGGTCGTGTTATAGGCGTCGCGACGCTTGGGGACCAGGCTGGCTCCCTCACGACTCCCGAGGTTTCATCCACACCCGCAAGTCTCCGTGGAAAACGAGGGAGACGGATTTCCTGGGAGTCTGCTTCGGAGTCTTCAGCGACGGAGTCTTCCCTGCCTGAGACAGCCCTCCCACTTCCAGTCATGGACCCTGCTGCGCTTCTCCTGCCGATCTCCAGTCCAGCTGTGACATCAGCTCCGCGTCCCAGAAGGAAGAGGAGGAAGGGGCCCTCTTGTCCTCCGTCTCTGTCTTCCCATGAGCCCGCTCCAGCAAGCGCCGTCCATGAGCCCGCTCCAGCAAGCGCCGTCCATGAGCCCGCTCCAGCAAGCGCCGTCCATGAGCCCGCTCCAGCAAGCGCCGTCCATGAGCCCGCTCCAGCAAGCGCCGCCCTAGAGGCCGCTCCAGCAAGCGCCGTCCCAGAGCCCGCCTCAGCAAGCGCCGTCCCAGAGCCCGCTGAGAGAGTTGCGGCCGATCTAGCCGCTAAGGAGGTTCTGCGAGCAGTTTCAGCTCGTCAGGAGATGCCTGTCATCATTGCGGCCAAGACCCTTTCCGATTACCTGTCTCGTCTCGTCGCTATTCTTGAACCCCCTGTCTGTCCTGCCTTGTCCTCAGCTCCCAAGCCTGTCTCTGTGAGCGCTGCACCTGATCCTATCCCGGTGAGCGCTGCACCCGAGCCTGCCGCTGTCATTGCTGCACCCTGTCCTGCCCCTTTGCCTGCTATGTCTCACGTCAGGAGTCCCGGTTCCGCATCCTCTGTGTCCTCGTCTGAATCTGTTGCTGCTAATTCCCGGTCTGTTTCCCCGTTCGTCCCTGTCTCCACCAGCCCCCGGACTGTTTCCCCGTTTGTCCCTGTCTCCACTAGTCCCCGGACTGTTTCACCGTTCGTTCCTGTCTCCACTTGTCCCCGGACTGTTTCCCCTGTCACCATTAAACCCCGGACTGTTTCTCCCAAGACCTCTACTCATGTGTCCCCGTCCAAGCCTGCCCGGAGTTCTCGTCCTCAGCCCTCCTCCCGTGGAACCAAGACCCCCAGTCCTCCCATCCACCCTGGACCTCCCCCCATGAACTCTGTGTTTCCTCCACCTCCTTTGCCTTGTATGTTGTTTTTGATTTTTCACCCTAACCCTGTTATTGTTTATTCCTGTTTGCCATTGTTAGTGTTTTCCATGTTTTGTTGGTTCGTGTCTTTGTCACAGTCTGTCATGTCCCGTGTTTAATGTCCCCTTGAGGAGCGTCTGGTAGCCGCTCCTTAAGGTGGGGGTTCTGTCATGATTCTGCCTTAGTATTCTTGATTTTCCTAGTCGTGAGGCAGGATCATGACAGAATCATGTTTTATGTACAAGCGCATGGTCTGTTATTTGGACCATGTGCTTGTGTTGTCTCGTCTCGTTACCCCGCCCCCTTGTTATCCTCGTCTTGTGATTTATTGTCTAGTCAGTTTCACCTGTCCTCGTCATTAGTGTTCCCTATTTAATCCTCTTGTATCTGCTGTCTTTGGTCGGTTCATTGTGATTGTTATCTGAGTGTTAATCCTTGTCAAACCTTTGTGAGATTCTGTGAGTATCTTGTCAAGAGTTTTAGTCCTGTTGTGCTATTGCCTGTAAAGGTTATTTGTGTCCCTATAGTTATCTGTCTTAGTCTAGTTAGTCTTCATAGTCCTGTCTTGTTTTGCCCCCTCGTGGGCTTTGTTTTCCCGGTTATTTGTTTAATAAATCGTGTTGCCTTGACTACTGTCTGCTATTGGGTTCATCCTTCCTCACCCTCATAACATATTCTCCAGATAATTGTTCACACTATCTGTGGAACTGGAAAAACTGAGACATCTGTTCAAGGAAGGGTTGACATCAATTTGAGACATAGGTCTAGGTAAACTTTTCAGATTTTCTAGATACATTGTTTTCATTATGTATTTTTGCAATTGGTTGTTATTTAATCTTATTTGAAAGCCACTCCCTTTTGTAAAGGTTCTTTTAAAATTCTGTTTGCCTGAGAAACATTTGATATCTAATAAGACCTTTAAGTTGGCCGAAACGTCATTGGTTTAAAGAAATTAAATCGGTTATGTTTGTAGAGTGAGTGTTGCACCTTTTTCTAGAGTTTGAAATTATTACTTTTTTAGTTCCCTCTTTAGTTCCCTTTCCCATATCTCTACAGTTGGTTGAGCCCTGCTTTTCAATTTGTGTTTTTCACTGTATAAAAAGGTCTCTATACTCAAATGTATTGCTGCCTTTAACCTGTTAACCTTCACCAGTGCGTGGGCGCTCTGAAGCGTTTTTTTTTTAAATAGTTCAAAGTTACTATCATATTTAATGTTATTAACTTGACAAACTATACATCATTAAAACGATATAAGACTCAAGTTTCAGTATTTGACCACTATTGTATTCTGAGAAACTTATAGTGACAGCTATGTCTTAATTTGTGTCAGGAGTTATGAAATTAAAAAATGAGTCGTTACCTTTAATATGAATTATGAGCGTCAGCTGGTCTCATTCAGAAAAAACTCCCGTGCGATCGTCATGACAGTGCTTGACAAAACAACGTCCATCAGGGCTTTTAGCTCAAACATGTGCAGATTTGGAGAAATATTGATAGATTCTCATAAGTTTACATCAGATTTCTATAGACAGGAATAATATTTATTGAATTTATACCCAAATGCGTCGATGTAATCATTTTGAGCGCTGGATTCGCTGATGTACTGTGTTATCCATTCATACTGAAGTCTGAGGGCGCTGTTTGCACAGTAAAGTCCATATATGGATCACATGAAGAAGAGCCATAATCATGTGACATTCAGGAAGTCCTGACACAACAAAGCTATCAGAGATCGCTGTAAAGTGCAGATAAAGATGTTTTGAAGACAATAAACATGATTGCAATGATATTTGATTTACCTGTGTTCTTCGAGTCATGTCAGGTATTTTCATAATAATAGATTATATGTATAATGTAATGCTAATCGAGATAGACTTTCAAATTGTGCAGAATACAATAAAATAATATATTTTCTATCTGATTTTTTTATCTGAAGCCAAATCAGATTACAGAAAGTTATTTAAAACACTCGACTTGCGCTGTAAAGTAAGTTTGGAGCACAAACATAGTTTTATTCTCATAAATTGTCGTGTATTGATGGTGTGCTAAGCTAACATGCTAGCTAGTACTGAGCACCTGCTACCTAACTTCGATGTAATTTTTATGATTTTTTTTCTAAATAAGAATGCTTACTAAAATGTTTCGTTTTTCAAAAAGGGCATTTGATACAGTTTCACTGTGAAGTGAGAACTTTTATAAAATAAATGAGGGATTGAAACAGTGTGAATTGCTAGTCGTTAGTGATTATAATGCAGACAAAAGAAAAGCATATTTAGAGCAATAAACAGGCTGGAGAGGTGTGAATATGTGCAGGGGAGACTGACACTGAATGGGGCTCGTTTTTGCATCACAAAACAATAGAGGCAATAGACTGAATAGATGCTTATAAGATGACAATAAACACCAGTCTAATCAAAATAAAGTCATATGACATGATCTTGAAAAACATTGAACTAAATACAGAGTTTTAGACTTATCATCTTCAGATTTTAAATATAACATGGTCAGACATGTGGCTTTAGCTGCAGTGCATTTCTAGATTGCTACAATGCCAACTTCAATTTTATTTTCATGAAGATGTTTCATAAAAATAAATGTATAATAATTTTACAAAACTTTGAAGCTATTTATAACTATTTTTTTTTCATTATGACAATAATTAATTCTACATTTACAATAAACTTCCAGGTGTCAGCTTTCAAATGAGATCTTACTTGTGCTTTTAGTACAAAGGGTTCATGAACTGTATCTGTTTCGGTTTGGGAATGCCATATCTGGGGATTTTTCAAAAATGGGGTTGCAGGTTAACAGGTTCCCTCGCAAGTGGACCATATTCGTGAGTCTGGGGCATCAAAGAGTCTGAAAACCCCTGATCTAAATTATGTGCATAACTAACATCAACACCATTTAGAGGTTTTAAAGGGATGGTTCACCCAAAAATTAATTATCTGTTATCATTTACTCACCCTCATGTTGTTCCAAACCTGTATGACTTTTACTCTTCTTCTTCAGAAAATATTTTGAAGAATGCTGGTAACCAAAAAGTTTTGGTGGCCATTGACTTCCATTATATGGACAATAAAAAAAAAATGAAAAAGACATTTCTCAAAATATCTATTAACATTCCACAGAATAAAGAACAAAGTCATAGAGGTTTGAGGCAACATGATGGTGAATAGATTATGACAGAATTTTCATTTTGGGGTGAACTATCCCGGTGTTTTCAGATGACATAACAGATGTTGAAGTGTTTCTAACTTCATTCACTGATTGACTAAAAAATTACAAACATCCACAAAGTTGATTTTGTGCTGACCCTTAGTGATAACAGCTGTGTTCATAATGGTCCCTGCAGCATTAGCGACAACCCCTTGGTCCTCATCTGACAGCAGCTTGACCAACATGGGCAGAAGATCCTCCTCACACACCTTCATCTTCCCATCTGCAGGCACACTAAGAACAGGAGAGATATTCAAGGGTTTCTTTTTTTACCTGGTCTCTGTACTCTAATGAATGACCATAGTGAACTTAACCCAAACTAGATTGCTGGGTGCCATGCTGCCTACCTGATTCCCACTAAGGCAGATGTGGCTGCCTGGCGGATGGCGGGGGACGGGTGAGACAGCTGATCTTTCAGGACCGGGATCACATCACTCTCCAGTGCAGGCAGGGCATTCACACTCACACAGGAGCTTAATGTGGAGAGAATTAAAGCACGGATGTTCTCTTCTTCATCGGAGACCTTCAGCACCAATCTGGGCACCAGGCCCATACACACCATAAATACTGCTCCTGTAGAGAATATAACAGAGGACTCTTCAAATGAAAAGCTTCGGCAATAAATTTACTGTGAAACAGAAGTATAAGAAACAATAGTCACCTGAGGGAAATTCAGCGATCCTGTTGAGTGCCAGGTGCACATTTTTACGACAGGCATTCTCAGGGTCCTCTAACAGGTTTGCAAGGGGACCCACAATGTCAAATTTCAAAAAGGCATCTCTGTGTGAACACAATTACATTTAGCCAAATTGCCAAAATGCCTTGTGTTGCAAGTATTTCAGTCGTGTTTTAAAAATTTCACATCCATTCTTGTGATATTAAATATTCAATTTTTAAAGTGTTGGACACTAAAATATCCTTTGATCAGAAATAACTGTTACTGGAAATAACAATCCTTTCTTGATATTTTATTATTAAAATATTTTTGAAGAAGTCTCTTCTGCTCACCAACACTGCGATTATTTGATCAAAAATACAGTAAATGCAGTAATATTGTGAATTTTTTTTTTTTTACAATTTAAAATAACTGTTTCATATTTTAATGTATTTTCAATTGTAATATATTCTTGTGATGCAAAGCTGAATTTTCAGTATCATTACTCACTACATTATTCTAAAATGCTTAGTACTCAAGAAAAATGTATTATTGTTATCGATGAAAACAGTTGTGCTGATTAATATTTTTGTGGAAACCATGATAATAATGAATAAAGTTTCAGGATTGATGAACAGAAAGCTCAAAAGAACATGCACTTATTTAAAATATATTTATTTTGAAATATTATGTTTTTAGTTTCAATTTAATTTAAATTTACCGTCAATTTATCAATTTAATGTGTCCTTGTTGAATAAAAGTATTAAAAGTATCTTTAAAAAAAACCTTTGTGATCCAAACTTTTGAACGGTAGTTAATTACATTTTAGCTGTAAAATAGTTATACTTTTACCTATTTTATTTTTGTAAAAATGATGTAAAGACCTAACATCTAATTAAATTATAAATATTCTACATATAATATAAATATACCTAAATAGGTATTAGTCACTGTCGTTGAATCCTGTTAAGGATCCACTTACTCTGTAACAATTTAACATAGAAAATATATATTTATATAACTTGTATATATATAATAATGTATATAAAAAACACATAGGCTACAGGGCCAAGCACATTCACATGCCAAAAGCTTACACAAACTAGAACACAAGAAAAATATGCCCACGGACTCTTGTATGACTCACCTTCCCAAGCTGTGTGAAGCAAGCACATAAAGCACTTCAGTAGTTTTGACCCTGACTAAGTTATCCTCATCTTGCAGCAAAACCTTGAGTCTTTCCATACATCCTATGATGAGGTCAAGAAATGTTATGGTTGACACCGGGGCATAAAACAAAGTGTGTGGTATCTTCAAAAAGTTTGAATTAATGCACACATTTCTAGTTATAACGTTCGCTTCTATATAATCATATATTTATGGACAAAAAGGTTATTAAATATGTGTTTACCACTGAGAATGGCTTCATATGCGCGCTCGTGGTCATGGACGAGTTCGCAGAGTGCAGCGAGCGCCCTCTGCCGGGTAAACAGCTCGACGTCCTGCAGCTCCATGATCAGCTTTGGAAGCGCCCAGTTCCCGAAAGCTACCGGCGCTTGTGTCGGGTCAATATGCGGCGGGGGCTGTTCGGTTGTTTGCGGACTTGCCATCTTCGTCGACAGGGTGATTCAAATGGGATTTCGTTAAATGTGTTTACATATCAAAAAGTTATTTGTTTCAACGGCCGACTCAAGATTGCAGGATTTTTGAGGGTTCATCATGTCATTATATATTCAAAATGTAAAACAAGTATTCCTAATTTATTTGCATGTTCAAAATCAGAAGTGTTAAAGATAATATTACCTTATTCGCTGGTTATAATAACGTCCTCTGCGCTTTTCCCCCCTTGTATAGTTAGGTTGCTATGGTAACTACGGAATTAACGCATCGCTCTTTTTCAAGTAGTAACGTAAACTCCGTAATTCTCTGTACTATCACTGAAAATATTCGGTGTTCAAGACCTCTATCACTTTTATGGCATAGTCTTCTTTTAGGCTTCGCTGCATATTTAATTAATCTACTTATATTTTTTAACTTATAAACAAATTTCATATTTATACATGCAAGTTTACTAATTAAAAACCCAACTTTGTGGTTTTGACTGAAGAAAGGCTGTACAGACAGTAAAAGACTCTGAAAAAAAACCTATAAAAACGTTTGTGAGCTCTACAATGTATTTATTTGATTTTTATATGTTTATTTATTTGGTAACACTTTACAATAAGGTTGCATTAGTTAACTTCTTAATTAATGTTAACTTCAACATTTACTAATACATTATTGAAATCAAAAGTTGTATTTGTGATGAGACCTTATTGTAAAGTGTTACCATCTATATTATGTAGATGGTTTTCTCTTTTTTCTTTTCTTTTTTATGTTTGTTCATATGTTGAATATTTGTTTTTTTGTTCAATATTTGCATTTGAACTTAAGTGTATGTGTGCATGTGCATCTATTCAGTAAAAAAAAAAAAAGCAAGAGAGATAAAAAGTTGTTAGGTGTGTTAATTTTAATACGTTCATTTAAACTTTATTTTAATGGAAAAGACCCGTACAAAGCAGGAAAATTGACCGAATACATTTCAAATGAACAAGCTGCACAAAGTTACTGCCCTAAAAATATTAAAACCCACATTGATGCATATTTCTTCTCTCCCTCGATTTTCATTTTAACTAATGGCGATAGTGTGTCTTAGGCATATAATTGAATGTGAAGGTTGATCAGTTGTCTGAGGAAGCCTGGGTTGGGGTAGATGCCTCTTCTTTCTTTTACCTTCTTGATTGCCTCTGTCAGCGTCATGTTTTGTTTTAGCATGAGATATGCCAAAACTATAGTTGCAGACCGACTCACTCCAACTTGACAGTGAACCAGGATTTTGCCTTTGATTAAAAAATATTTGAGTTTAATGGTAGTTGCTTATTTCTTCTAAGGTAGACTGGGTTAGGTTTTGTACACACAACCACTTACCTCCCTCTTCCAGTGCTGTATGTATAAACTCAGCCCCATTGTTAAAGTGGGCACTCATGTCATACATGGGTGAATCATATGCGCATATGCCCATGTACGTGATGCCCATGCCATCATAAATCTCGCCATCATGTCTGGAGCTGTGGGCGCAGTTCAGGACATGGGTGAATTGCATACTTCTCAGCTCTGCGCAATTCACAGCTATACCCCTAACGAAGAGAAAATGCATATTTATTATCTTTGTGATTTTGAATATTCTAATTTTAAAGTTTTGGACACTCTAAAATGTTCTTTGGGCAGAAAGATAATTTTCTTTCTAGAAATAACAATGACTATGTTAAACGCTTAAAAGACAGGGCGGGACACAACAGCTACTCTCCTTTTTTTTAAATAGCCAGTAGCGTTTCGTTTATATTACAGCTCGGCCAGAGCCGTTGAGCTCGGTAAAGTCGCAGTTTCCTCCTAATCTCTAACCGTTTCACCTCCAAATCTCCTTCATATCGCTTTAAAATATAGCATTCTGGGCAGGATTCAAATGGGTCTGATACGTTTTGTCTTCTGTGCCGACTCACGCATATGATCCGCTCTGTGCTATCATGTCTCTGGACTGAAGCAGACTGTGCGGGCTGTGGCAGTTCGCATGACACTAACGTGAAATCATTAGACTTCATTCACCCCAATGGAAAGCATATTTACACTGTCTGAATTGTTCCATATTCCCTATGTAGTGCACTATGTGCCATTTACCATGTAGAAAATAGTAAATGTGTGAACAAGTTGCCAATTTTAGCCGCAGCTTCAGTGTCTATTTGGGGGCGGGATGCAGATTCTAGAGAGCATTTGATTGGGCAGAAAATCTGACGAGAAGCTGAAGTGCAGAGTGATGTCATCAAAATCAGGCAAAAAAATTCATGGGGACTTCTTTTTGGAAAGAATCTAATCAAAGCAAGTTTTTGTATAAATCTTCTTTTATTTATTGGAAAGTTGTATATTCATAAATGTAAATATACAAAAAAGATTACCCTGGTTTAACATCTTCAAACAAGAACTGAATTTGTATTTAAATACAATCTGACTAATAAGAAAGCTATAAAAACATCTAGAATTTACGCCATGTTTAATATTCTTTGGTAATATGCTTTTATTAATTTTTGTGCCCTCCCCCTTTTTTTCTTTTACATTTCTTGAGAAATATTTTTCAATAGGCTAATTAGGCTCTTGTTGAACATTGATAGCTTGTTTATTGTCTAAAAGTGTGTTTCTGTGTTATTTTATCCTCTGTTTGTTAAAATTTGAATAAAAAACTACATAACTTGACTAAAAAACTTTTCAACTAGCCTACAGTAGAAACTACAGAAGTGTATATTTAATTTTAATACAGTTATATAAAGCTACATGAGTCAATTGGAGAAACGGGAAAAATTGCAGTCTGCTTACATGTCCCCTATGTAAAGATGGGGCCAGACTTCATCTGCGTCGTTAATGATGATGGTTTTTCCTGGATATAGAAGATCATCAACTCCCTTCATCGCTAAAGCGGGAGAGGTGAAATCAATTGAACTTGAAGTACCTTGTGAATATTTCGACCTGAAACATACGGAGCCCCTAAAAGGTCATGGTGAAGGGAAAAAATAGGCAAAAAATAGGAAAAATTATTTCTCACATTTGATCCGTGACCACAGCAATTTCAACGGGAATTTAATCCCATAATAAACACCCTCTCAAGTCAAAATTTTAATGCGATGAGCTCGTAATCACGACATCTGAAGTGGGAAGTAGGAAATTTCCAATAGCCCGTGAAGGCAGCATAAATGCCCATTAACAACTTCAAATCTCATACTACGGAGCCCCTGGCCTTGGGACATGGTGGTGGAAAAAAATATGAGAAGTCAATGCGTTGTCTCTCAAATGTTTTGCAAAAACTTTTGCATGCTGCCGAGAAACTTTGCGTACGCTCGAACACAAAGTTTCTTGGAGAAACGCAAAAAGCATTGACATTATTTTGCCTACAAACTTTTTTCCCACCACCTTGAAAGAACAAACTCGGTAGGACGCGAGGACACAGAACGCATCTTTGTGAGAATTGAGATGTGCTGCGATCTTGTTGCTGAACTGACTGTCATAGCATATTATAAGTAGCAGCTAATGCACAATAAATACAACATAACATCACAAACAAGTGTCATAACCTATTAAAACATTTCTTTCATATTATTATAGACATTATTTTCCTGCATGTATTTGTGAAAATGAGTATGTTTAATGTTACCTATGCTTTATTAATGTTAAAGGGATACTCTACTGGTTTTTCATATTAAACTATGTTATTCCCTTAATAATAAGTCGGCAGAATACCATAGCAAGTGCTTGGGAGCACTTCGACTCGGCGCAGTAATATCATCTCTCGTGAAAAGTCCGCTCTTGTTGAAATGAGAGGGAGGAGGAGAGGGAGCGGGGGGAGAGCACTTTTCATGAGAGATGATATTACTACGCCGAGTCGAAGTGCTCCCAAGCACTTGCTATGGTATTCTGCCATACAATATAGTTATCCATTTTACACGCTTAGAAAAGCGCAACGTTTTATTTTGTGTCACCGTCCTAGGTCGAGTTACACTACTCGTGTAACTGTATTTAAATAGGGAAAACGTGGAGGTGTTTGGTCGCTTCTCTTCTGGGCACGTATTGAATGAACAGGGCTGAGATAAGATCTAACAAAGTTTCGCCGCAAGACAGCGATTTAGTGCACGCACTGAGACGAGAGAGGTATGTATCAACTCGTCTTTGTTAAGGGAATAACATAGTTTAATATGAAAAACCAGTAGAGTATCCCTTTAAGATTTTTTTTAATATGCCAATAAAAATACTGCCGGCTCTCTTGAAGTCTTTATCACTTTATTAAAATTAAGCAAAAGAAACGGACACGTTTACTTTCTCAAGCTGTCACGTATTTGTGAGCTTGATGCGGGATTCGCGGGAATCTCTTAAGTAAGAACGAGAAGATTAAAGCTTACAGGCTTCCGTACGTCGACTGCCTGCACCATCTTCTGGGATTTCTAATATCAAGAACACATCCGGGTACTTTCATTCATCCTCTGTACTTGCATTCTTGTGAATTGGAATTTAACCTCGATGGTGGTTGATGAGGTAGTATGAGAACACAAGGACGCAAGATCACTAAAGAACGCATATCGAGAAACAGTCAATGCATAGCAACGCTTCCCCTTCTAAAAAAAAACTGGCCAATTGTCACGAATAAGCAAATCGCCTGAAAATACTGACGAGCCTAGGGGCAGTATAAAATGCGGAGGAGAGACAATTGCGTCAGAATCAAACTGAACGCTGCACAGCTGATCGAGGGGCGAACATGGCGGCCTACGCAATGTCTCGTTCCCGCCTCTCAGGGAACTGAGGTTACAACAGTAACTGGAGACGTTCCCTTTCGAGAGTGGTCACTTCAACATTGAGTAGCAATTTTGAGGGAACTGTATACAATCCCGCCGTCAGAGTGGCGAAGATCAGCCCGTAGAAACAGGGCTAAAGTTACACCAAACAAGCAGTAGAACAGTACACAATTCAACCAATAGGGACGCCACTGGGAGTGCTCACAGCTGATAGGTGGAGCTAGACCAATGAACAGCCAGCTTAGGTACACCAAAATTAGCATATCGGATCAGCTCAAGCGAGCGGGCTACAATGAATACAGGGCAGAACAACAACAGTAAGCACATATGAATGTACATGGGCATACACAGTGTGTCCAGAAGCAGTCTTAGTAAGAAAACCCAAGCAATAAGTGAGGTTATTCACTCACCGAAAGCACTTGAGACACCAAGGACAGCACATCCAACTTGTAAAACTTGCCGAAAGTGTTCTGTGAAGACCAGCCAGCCACAAACCATACAGTATATCCCGATAAGACGTGCCTTTAGATCAGGCCCATGAAGAGAAGATAGCCCTCGTTGAGTGAGCTCTGATGCTGAGGGGGCATTCATATCCCTGGCTCGCATAAGCCAAAGCGATAGCGTCGACTATCCAAGAGAGACCCTCTGCTTAGAAACTACATGTCCTTTAGTACAGCCACCGTAGCAAACCAAGAGCTGGTCCGACTGTCTAAAAAAGTGGAGGTGAAGGCCTTGTGATCAAGGTGGGGGGCTGAGGAAGGCCACAGATGCACGGCGACGGTCTCCTCGATGGGGGGCATGCGCACGTAGTCGTGGGCTTCTGCTCCGTCCACATGGGAGAAGATGGCCTGCGTAGAAGCGTGGTCGCGCACCGACTTGGGTGCAGACCACGACTTCACCACGTGCTAGTGGACATCAGGAAAAACCGGGGTCTTCCTCCTCGAAGCAGCCTGGCGGCGGCTTACTCCTGGTGGGCTCTTCCAGAGCACTCCATGCGAGGTCGAGCTCCTTAACAGCCTTGTCAAAGACTCTGGCGAGCTCCTCTTGGAGGTCTGTGGGGCCTTCTGTGTCAGGGTGGTCCCGCTCCGACGTTGCCCAGTCCTTTTCTGATGCCGAGATGGACATGGAGTCTTCTTCTCCGCGACGTAGGGAGGGGGACGAAGGCTCTCGTCAGAAAAGAGGACTGGGTAATGAGCAATGAACGAGGAATGTTCTTCCGAGTCCTCAGGACGCGCTGCGGTAGGTCGGCTCAGTGCCCACAGTTGGACTTGGTGAAAGCAGCCTCAGCAAGGGCCAGGCCCAGGCAGGTGGTGCAGTAGGCGGTGCAGTACTCATGTGGGTCCGCCGGGCCAATGGGGCCCACGTAAAGTAGGCAGAAGGAAGCCATCGGATGCGGTAAATAAGTATATGTTGTCGTCTTCTTCAGTTGCGTCTTCAGCGATGGCAGCGTGGAGTAAAAGATTCTGACGCAATTGTCGCTCCTCCGCATTTTATACTGCCCCTAGGCTCATCAGTATTTGCATGCGATTTGCATATTAGCGTCAATTGGCCAGTTTTTTTACTGCTGTTATCCTATAAGGTTTCAGGAATTTGGAGAAGGGGAAGAGTTCAGCGTTGCTACACAATGGCTGAAATGACCACTCTCGAAAGGGAACTCATCTGTCTGTAGTATTAATAATCCTGAAGACTGATTAGCAGGTTCAGGTGTGTTTGATTAGGGTTGGAGCTAAACTCTGCACTCCAGGACCGACATTGCCCATCCATGTTATAGATTAAATATAAAAGTAAAGTGGCCAGTAAGTGGTGGCAAGTTACTGTCTTTACGAGTGAGTCATTCATTCAAACGTCTCGTTTAAATCAGGAATTCATTAATTCACGCTGTTCTGCTGTGGCAATGTTTGGAACTCTTTTCGTCAAAATCATGCAAAAAGAAAAAATATTCTCAATATTGTGTTTGAAACTCACTCAATTTTTTTTTACTTATTGTTATATTGATTTATAATACAAAAGCTAAAACATCTACAATCACTCTAATATTGGGGAAAACACTATTGCAATAAACTCTAATATTGGGGAAAACACGTGGTATTGTTGTGGCATTGCTTAACTGTATAATTTTATATCAGTGCTACACAAAATGTGATGAAATTTATAAAACCATAAAGCAAGCATATATTATTATTATAGTATAAATACAAAAAAAAATGTAACAGTAATAGCCATAACAGGTATCGACGAGCCACGCACACATAAGAGTGGTGTTGTGAGGCCGGTGCATAGGCCAGTGCATGGTGGCAGCTGTGTCTCAGGGTGCCAGGTTCAGTGGGAGGCGCTGTCACAGAGTCAGCCACACCGTCACAGCCCCAATCATCACTCAATCACCAAGACCCGCCCACTTGCTCACAATCACCAGAGTACTGACTCGCAGCACCTGCACTCCCTCATCAACACACCCTCTATGCATCTAGCGGCTGGAATGAGACGGCCCTGTTGACAGCCTTTCGCCAGGTTCTGAACCCGGAAGTGCGCCACCAGATGGTCATTTATGATGACACCGTCGGTTTGGAGAGTTTCATTCAGAAAGCTGTGCGTATCTCTCAACGTCACTCATTGGATCATCCCGCATCCTCCTTCATCTGTCGCCCTTCCAGCACCAGAACCCATGCAGGTAGACACTTACCATCTGTCCAACGCTGAGCGTCAAAGAAGACTAACACAGCACTTGTGTCTGTATTGTGGGGGAGAAGGTCATATCATCACCAATTGCCCGATACGACCACCACGCCCAGCGGTGAGTACCATCCAGTTTCTGCCCAAAGTTGCATCTCTCACTCCTTTCCAAATTCTAACCCCAAAATTTCTCGTTTCAGCGCAAGCGCTCATCAACTCCGGGTCTGCAGGGAACTTCATCTCTCATCAACTTCTCCAAAGACTCAACCTCCAGAGGAAACGCTGCTCACAAGAATTAGCCATTTACACCATCCTCGGCAAGCCGCTGGGCCGTGGTCGTGTCCGCCACTTCTCCCCTACAGTCACGCTATGTGTCGGCTGCCTGCATGAGGAGAAGATCTCGTTCTTGGTGCTGGAAGGATCCACCGCTGACATCATCCTGGGACTACCTGAATCGACTACCGGGCCCTTAACGCACAGACTGTTAAATACAGTTATCCTCTTCCTCTGGTCCCTGCCTCATTGGAACAGCTCCGTGGGGCTTGCATCTTCTCCAAGCTGGACCTGCGGAGCGCCTATAACCTCATTCAGATACGTGAGGGTGATGAATGGAAGATGGCGTTCATCACTCCGGCAGGCCACTACGAGTACCAGGTAATGCCGTATGGCCTGTCCAACCCACAACTAGCCCGTTGGGCGCTATTTTTCACACGGTTCGATTTCACCGTAACCTACCGACCCGGTACCAAGAATTGCAAGGCGGATGCCTTATCCCGTCTGTATCATCCTGAACCTGAATCCTGTCCTCCAAAACCAGTTCTCCCTCCAGTCATGGTAGTCAGCCCAATCCAATGGTCCCTCGATGATCAGATCCTCCAAGCCTCCGCCGGGAGGTCCTGAGGGACGGTTGTATGTGCCATCCGCCTGCCGTCTATCCCTCACACACCTCTCCGGGCTCTGGACACCCAGGCAGCCAGCGAACCCTCTCACTCCTACAGGATCGCTACTGGTGGCCCAACATGGCCCAGGATATCTCCCGATAGGCAAGGCAAGGCAAGGCAAGTTTATTTATATAGCACATTTCATACACAATGGTAATTCAAAGTGCTTTACATAGGAGGAAATAATTAAAACAGTTTAGAATAAAAAATAAAGTACAGTAAAAACAGTCGGACGAACATTGGCACAGTGCTCATTCAGTAAATGCATAGCTAAACAGATGTGTTTTGAGTCTGGCTTTGAATGTGACTACTGTAGGAGCACATCTGATCTCTTCTGAAAGCTGGTTCCAGCTGCGGCTGGCATAGTAGCTAAAAGCAGACTCTCCTTGCTTAGAGTGAACCCTTGGTATTTCTAACTGATGTGATCCTAATGATCTGAGTGATCTGTTGGGTTTATATTCAGTGAGCATATCTGCAATAAATTGAGGTCCTAGCCCATTGAATGATTTATATACCAGTAATAATACTTTAAAATCAATCCTAAATGTAACTGGGAGCCAGTGTAAAGACCTGAGGACTGGTGTGATATGTTCAAATTTTCTGGTTCTGCTCAGAATCCTGGCAGCAGCGTTCTGTATAAGCTGCAACTGTCTTATGGTCTTTTTAGGAAGGGCAGTGAGGAGTCCATTACAATAATCCACCCTGCTGGTGATGAAAGCATGCACAAGTTTCTCTAAGTCTTGACTGGAAACAAAGCATCTAATTCTTGCAATATTTTTCAAATGATAGTATGCTGATTTAGTTATTGCTTTGACATGACTACTGAAACTAAGGTCTGACTCTAGAGACACACCAAGATTCCTGACTTGATTTTTAGTTGTTAGACCCCTAGCGTCAAGGTATGCATTCACCTTGAGAACTTCATCTTTGTTTCAAAACGCAATGATTTCAGTTTTGTCTTTGTTTAACTGAAGAAAGTTTAGGCACATCCAACCGTTTACTTCATCAATGCATTGGCACAGGGAGTCAATGGGGCTGTAGTCGTTATGCGATAAGGCTAAGTAGAGCTGTGTGTCGTCTGCATAGCTGTGGTAAGAGATTCGGTGTTTTCTCATTATTTGGCTCATTGGGAGCATGTACAGGTTGAATAGGAGTAGTGCAAGAATTGAGCCTTGAGGGACTCCGCATGTCATGGGTGTCCACTCAGACTTATGGTCTCCTATACTCACATAATAACCCCTCCCTTCTAAGTATGACCTGAACCATTTTAGGACTATCCCAGAAAGCCCCACCCAGTTTTCCAGCCTGTCAAGAAGTATGTTGTGATCGACAGTGTCAAATGCAGCACTGAGGTCGAGTAGTACCAGCACTGATAATTTGCCTGTATCAGTTTTTAAGCGAATATCGTTTATTATCTTTATGAGAGCTGTCTCTGTGCTGTGATGCGATCGGAAACCAGATTGAAAATTGTCAAAGTATCCATTCAAGCTTAGGAATTTGTTCAGCTGATTGAAGACAACTTTTTCAATGATCTTGCCTAGTATGAAAGGAAGATTTGAGATCGGTCTATAATTGCTTAAGATGGTCTTATCCAGATTGCTCTTTTTCAGGAGGGGCTTGACAACTGCAGTTTTCAGGGAGTTTGGAAAACTCCCAGAGAGAAGTGAGGCATTTACCACTTCTAGAAGATCTGCTTCTAAGCTGTTTAACACACTTTTGACAAAAAGATGTGGGAAGTGTGTCAAGGGTGCAGGTTGATGTTTTAAGGTGCTGTACGGTTTCTTCCGAAATTTTGCCATCAATTTCTTCGAAAACAGACATAGTAACTACTTTCTCAGGGTGTATTCACACCAGGAAAGTCCGATAGTTCACTTGCTTTGGTACGGACCAAATATTTTTTTTTTGGTACGGTTCGCTTTCACACTGCTCTTTTTGCAAGTGAACCAAAATTTGTAAACAAAACCACACGTGTGCTAAGGTCGTCCATTCATTGGACAAGGATTCTCAAATAGGGAAATCAGGAAGTGCAAAAAAGGCTCAGCATGGAGATATTTCGTACTGCAATATTTGTTATTTTACTAATTTTGTGTTATTCTGTACAAACACAATATGAAGAAACTGCGCAGAAGACGGATAAGGTATAACGTTTTCATTCATAGAGAGGGGCTATGTTCACACATTCAAATAATGATATTCTTATTGTATATACTGCTAACAAGTGCTGTCAATGTTAACGCTTGCGATTAAGTTTGTCCAGTTTAACGCAGCATCATCCTTGTATTGTAACTATCGTTACATTATATGAACTGCAAAAGCTTTTTTTTGCATCTATGCGCGATTAGACTAAAGAGAACGCTCTGTATGTGAATGTCCTGATGCACACACTCATTCATTCATTCCATTCCAATGATGCACACACGACGTGCAGAAAGACGCGCAACAGTATCGTGTGGCCAGACAGCGCGCCGGAATGGAATTCTCTTTCGCACTTGAACAACAATAACACAAACCATT